TGTTTTACTGCCTACAGGCATCCCTTAGCTCAGTCAAGTTGACACATAAAATTAACCATCACGGCATGGAGATTAAACAACACACTTTTAAATAACCAATGGGTCAAAGAAGAAATCACAAGGGAAATTAGAAAATATCTTGAGAAAAATGAAATGAAAACACAATATACCCAAACTTACGGGATGAAGCAAAAGCAGTGCTAAGAGAGTTTATATCATTAAATGTTTACATTAAAAAGAAGAAAGATCTCAGATCAACAACCTAACTTTACACCGCAGGAACTAGAAAAAGAACTAAGCCCCAAGTCAGCAGAAGGAAGCAAATAACAACGATCAAAGCTGAAATAAATGAAATGGAGACCAGAAAAACAATAGCAAAGACCAAGGAAACTAAGAGTTGTTTTTTTTAACTTCAACAAAAATTGACAAATCATTAGCTAGATTAAGGAAAAAAAAGGAATGACAAAAAATGAAAACCAAAAATGAAAGGGGCTATTACAACCAATACCACAGAAATAAAAAGGATCCTAAGTATATTATGAACAATTGCATGCCAACAAATTGTAAAACCTAGAAGAAATGGATAAATTCTAGAAATGGATAAATCAAAAAGAAAAGTCCAGGACTTGATGGCTTTACTGGAAATTCTACTACACATTAAAAGAAGAATTAAAACCAATCCTCCTCAAACTTGTACAAAAATTTGAAAAGGAAACAACATCCCAAACTCATTCTATGAAGTCATCATTGCTCTATTACTGACAATACTGATTTCATCTTTGGCCCTCCATCATCTTGTTCATGTTCACTTGATGACCTCTCTTGGGGTGACATATTCCAGACCCCCTGGAGATTAATATACATACCTTAGAAAGCCTGCCAAGGTCAGGATAGCGGGGAGGCATGTTCTGGCCTCCCATGAATCTGTTAGCAATAACACAGTCTTTCTCTTGCCTGACACACAGGTGGTGCCACTGGATCTAATTAAAGGTTAGCTGTCAATTAGGTGCATGCATCCCTTTGAGGTGCATGTGAACCCTCTGATCTCACTGCACTGTCCTTCTTTGTGTCCCCTTGCTCTAATAAAATCTATGGACTAAGGTCTGGATTTTGTGGAGAATAATTGTGCAGCTGCCATGAATCATCCTCTACCTGATCTCCCCCATCAGTAAGTTATCCTTAATAAAACTCTGTGTAAACTGTATAGAGTCACCTCCTTTGTTTTCCTGTCTCAAAGTGCCTTCTCAATTTAGGGATATTTTGATGTCCCTCCCCAACTCTCTTAGCACCCTAATACCAAAGCCAGACAAAGGCACTAAGGAACAGACCAATATCTCTGATGAACGTTGATACAAAATTCTTAACAAGATACTACTAAACCAAATTCAGCAGCATATTAAAAAGACTATATTCCAGGGCGCCTGGGTGACTCAGTTGGTTGGGCAACTGCCTTCGGTTTGGGTCATGATCCCGGAGTCCTGGGATCAAGTCCCACGTTGGGCTCCCAGCTCAGCGGGGAGCCTGCTTCTCCCTCTGAGCCTCTCCCCTCTCATGCTGTTTCTCTCTCTCAAATAAATAAATAAATAAAATCTTTTTTAAAAAATAAATAAATAAAAATAAAAAGACTATACTCCAAGTAATTTATTTCTGAAATGCAAGGATAGTTCAACCTACAAAAATAAATTGATTTAATACCACATTAACAGAATAAGGGACAGAAACTATATATTTCTCAATTGATACAGAAAAAGCATTTAGCAAAACTCAATACCCATTTATGAGAGAAACTCAATAAACTAAATCTAGAAGGAAACTACCTTGACATAAAAAAGACCCATACTAAAATTATTAAAATTCCACAGCTAACATCATAGTCAATAGTGAAAAACTGAAAGCGTTTCCTCTACAATCATGAACAAGACGAGGATGCCCTCTTCTCTATTTCTTTTCAACACAGTACTGGAAGTCCCAGCCAGAGCAATTGGGAATAAAATAAATAAAAGGCATCCAAATCAGAAACAGACTCTTAACTACAGAGAAGAAACTGATGATTGCCAGAGGGGAGGTGGGTGGGAGGATGGGTAAAACAGGTGATGGGGATTAACGAGTGTGCTTGCTGTGATAAGCACTGGGTATTGTATGGAAGTGTTGAATCACTGTATAGTATACCTGAAACTAATATTACACTATATGTTAACTAACTGGAATTTAAATAAAAACTTAAAAAAAATTTTTTTAGTGAACAATTTGTAAAGAAAATTTTAAAAACAATTCTGTTTACAAGAGCATCAAGAAAAATAAAAATCTTAGGAATAAATCTATGGAGGTGAAAGACTTATACACTGAAAAGTAGAAAACACTGCTGAAAGAAAATAAACACAGTACTAAGTGAAAAAGCATCCCTTTTGTTTATGGGTTGTAGGATTTATTTTTAAAATGTCCATATATCCCAAAGGAATCTACAGATTCAATGTAAACCTTATCAAAATCCCAATGACATATTTTACAGAGACAGAAAAACCCATTCTAAAATTCATATGGAATCTCAAGAGACCCTGAAGAATTAAAATAATTTTGAGAAATAATAAAGCTGAAGGACTCACACTTCATTTCAAAACCTACTACACAAAGCTACAGTAATCAAAACAATATAATACTGGCATAAAAACAGACATATAGACTGATGGAATAAAATAGCCCAGAAATAAACCCTTACATATATGGTCAAATGATTTTCAACAAGGGTTCTGGGTCCATTCAGTGGGGAGAAGAAAATCTTTTCAACAAATGGTGCTTGGAAAACTGGATATCCATATTTTAAAAAATGAAGTTGGACCCTTAACTTGTACCATATATGAAAATTAACTCAAAATGTATCAAAGACCTAAATGTAAAACCTAAACCACAAAACTTTTAGGGAAAAAACAGGGAGAAAGTTTCATGACATTGGATTTGGCAATGGTTACCAAAAGTATAGGCAACAAAAGTAAAAATAAATTGGACTGCATCAAAATTTAAAACTTTTATTCATCAAAGGACACTATCAATGGAATGAAAAGGCAACCCATGAAATGGGAGAAAATACTTGAAAATCATATATCTGATAAGGGATTAATACCCACAATATATAAAGTACTCCTAAAACTCAACAACAAAAATCAAACAACCTGATTCAAAAATGGGCAAATGGACTTGAATAGATATTTCACCAATGAAGATAAATAAATGGTCAATAAGGACATGAAAATATGTTCAACATCACTGATAATTATGGAAATGCAAAATCAAAACTATAACAAGTTATCATCTCATACCCATTAGGATGGCTATAATAAAAAAATATATATATACCAAAATGACAAGTGTTGGGCGCCTGGGTGGCTCAGTTGGTTAAGTGACTGCCTTCGGCTCAGGTCATGATCCTGGAGTCCCGGGATCGAGTCCCACATCGGGCTCCCTGCTCAGCGGGGAGTCTGCTTCTCCCTCTGACCCTCTTCCCTCTCGTGCTCTCTATCTCTCATTCTCTCTCTCTCAAATAAATAAATAAAATCTTTAAAAAAAAAAAAAACAAAATGACAAGTGTTGGCAAAGTTGTGGAAAAATTGGAGCACTGTTGGTAGGATTGTAAAATGGTGCAACCACAATGAAAACAACATGGTGGTTCATTAATTAAAAACAGTTGGGGCACCTGGCTGGCTCAGTCGGAGAAGCATGTGACTCTTGATCCAGGGGTTGTGAGTTTGAGCCCCACATTCTGTGTAGAGATTACTTAAATAAAACTTTACATTTAAAGAAATTAAGAAATTAAAAATAGAACTTACATATGACCCAGCAACCCCACTTATAGCTATATATCTAAAAGAATTATAATCAGGGTATCAAAAAGATATCTGCACACCCATATTCATAACAGAATTATTCACAAAAGCCAAAAGCTGGAAGCAATCCAGATTTCCATGGATGGGCAAATGGATAGACAAAATGTGGTATATACATATGGTGGAATATCATTCAGCCTTAAAAAGGAAGGAAATCCTAAAACATGGATAAACCATGAGGACATTATGCAAAGGGAAATATGCCAGTCACATAAATGCAAATACTATATGATACCGCTTAAATGAAGTATCCAAAGTAGTCAGATTTATAGAAACAAAAAGCAAAATGGTGGTTACCAGGGCTTAGAGAAGGGAAAGAAAAATAGGGAGTTGTTTAATGGGTATACAGTGTCAATTTTACAAGCAGAAAAAAATTTTGGAGATCTACTGCACAATAAGATGAATATACTTAATACTACTGAACTGCACACTTAGAAAATGGTTAACATGGTAAAAAAAAAAAAATACACACACATAGTGTGGTCCTAAGAGCTTTTGGCCTTTAATAAAGTTTGTTTTTTCAGATATATTTTTCACAACTTCAACATGTTTTACAATTTTTCTAAACAATGCCCTAAGCTGCCAATTTTAAAGTTTGCTCTGTACATCTGTATGATGTGGGAACAGCAAACTCTCTATACACATTAAGATGAGTAAATATTGGAAAAGATACATTCCTATAAAAGATAATTTCCTTTTTTGCTTTCAAACTGTGTTCTATATGTGGGATGTAAAATAATTCACTTCTATTTTCCAATATAATAAAGTATTCCAGTAGTTAACAACAAAAAATATTTGATTAATAAAATGCTGGTTAAAAACACTATGAATGGGGAAGTTATAAATGAATTTTTAAAATGTGAATTTGAAAACATTAATTCATTCAATTTATCAAATGTGAACTTGAAACCATTAATTATTCAGTTATCAAATTCCCCTGGTTGAGCTAAGTGTCAGAAGGAGAGAAGTCATATAGGGAGTAGGACTATAAGTTTTACACTATATAGTTAACAAATTTTTAAAAAGTTTCATTGGGATATGCGGAAGTTTTCCTGTAATCATAAAGGAGCTAGCAGAAATCTTATTTGATTTTGACTCATATCTTGATCATTTTTTTAACAGAACTCCTGGGGCCTTTGGACAGAGGAGATATGCTAAATGAAGCTTTTGTTGGCCTATCTTTAGTTCCTCAAGGAGAAGACATATTTACAGATAACCTCCCTCCCTTTTGTTCAATCCATAAACATATTATTCAACAAAGAACACTGAATGTCTCTTCTAATAGGTAAGATATGTTGAATTGAGAAAAGTGCTCCACAGTGTTTAGTATAAACAATTTAAATATTCCCTGTTGAAATCCAAACTAATAGTTAAGCAAGAATATTTCAAAATGTCAAAGAAAAAAATGTGCATTTTCTCATGGCGATGACTTTGCAGTAGTTTGGTCATGTGAAAGCAGGTATGATGGAGGAAGAATTCAATGTAAACAGAATACTGTTAGAATGAATGTTATTCCAGGCCAAGATGAACATGAAATTACTATAACATATCAAATTCTATTTTTATTCTGTTGTTAAATTTTAGAATTGTTAGATTATTAAATTAAAATATTAATTTTTAGTATATTTAGTATGTTTAGTATATTTAGTTTGTAACTCATATGATCGTACTTATGCAACTTTGCCATTAGTTTCTGAAATCTGATAAATGATAATTTCATAACTATCCAGCTGATTATATGGGTTATTGAGAAAATAAACAGGATAAATGTGAAATAAAAACACAAGACAAAGTAATATTATTTATAATGGTAATTATGTTAGTCACCATTATAATTTGCTCTGAAGCAAAGGTCAACAAACTTTTTATGTAAAGCACCAGATATTAGGCTTTGTGGATCATACAGACTCTATCACAACACTCAACTCTGCCATTGTAGTATGAAAGCAGCCACAGACAATACATTAATAAATGAGAGTGGCTGTGTTACAATAAAACTTTATTTACAAAAACAGGCGGTGGGCAGGATTTGGCCCCCATGCTGCAGTTTACACACCTGCTCCTGAGGATCCCAACTTATATACAATAATTGTGAAGAGGCCGTATTTTTTATATATATCATATAAAATATAGGCCATATATTTCATATCAATTATACATATATACACTCATAATATCCTTGAGGAAAATGCCTCAAACTACATAGTTTAATTAATACTAAATAAAGGAGCAGAATTTCCAGGTATGGCAGATTTTTGAGGTAAGTAAATCTTCTCCCCAGGAAACAATGATAAAACTGGACAAAAATTACCATTTCAGAACTCTGGAAATCAAATAGGAGCAAACAAGAGTTTGATAAGCATTATTCATGAAAAAATGCTGAACTTCTAGTAATAAAGGGGAAATCTGATGTTCTGGGGCTGCTCCCATCCTTTCTTGACCCCCAAGCTAGTTCAGCCTTGTAGTTCTACTAGGGTAGGACAGCTGTGAAAAACAACAGCTGACTTGATTTGGAGCTTAGAGTGGAAAAACCCTGCCCAGCAGTATTATCAATAAAACAGCAAACTGTCAGTAAAAGTAACAAATTTGATAGGAAATGAACAGGGAAAGCCACAGCTCTACTAGCCTGCTTAAGTCAAGTGACAGAACGGGAGACTAGCCAAAAAATTTTTAACAGGAAGATCTGGAATAAGAATCAGAGAGGGTCTAATTAAGCTCTCTACACATTCCTGATGGAGTTGTATGACCTCTTATTTTTTGGCTCCCTTTTATCTTGTGGAACCCTAAATTTTCCCCTTTTGCTTCTTTCTTCCTTCACACCCAACTGTCAGAAGGTGCCTCTCCCTTTTTGCCTTTTTTCACCCACCCATCTCCCTACCACAGAAGCTGTGCATTTAAAAAACTACCCCTTCACACTGCATGGTGTAGTTCATGCTCTAATCTACAAGAACACCAGGATGTGGAGATCATGCCCTGAGATTTGGCATTTTTTCCATTTTATTTACAATTGTCTGGAAGTTCTCTGTCAAGTCATGCTGAAGGTGGGGCTTTCATGTAGTTTCTTTTCTTCTTTTATTATGTTCTATATCATTTATAGAGGAAGTACTGGGAAGTGCAAAGGAAGGCAGCCAGTATTGTCTTCAACTACCCGGAAGTCCTACTTCTTTATTTACTTTTTTAAAAATGATTTTACTGGGGTATAATTTACATGCACCATAAAATTTGCCCCCTGTAAGTATACAATTCAATGATGTTTGCTAAATTTATAAAATTATGCAACTACCACCAGAGTCATTTTAGAACATTTCCATTGCCACAAAGTTCCCTTGTGCCAACTTACAGTGCATTCCCACTCCTACCTCCAGCCTGAGCCAGTCACTGGTCACTTTCTGCCTCTACAGGAACTTCATATAAATGAAATCATATAGTCTGGAAACTTCATATAAATGAATTCATACAATATGTTGTCTTTTGTGTCAGGCTTCTTTCACTTAGCATTATGGTTTCTGAGGTTCATACATGTTGTAGCATGTAGTTTATTCCTTTTTCGTTTCTGAATAGTATTCCATTGTATGAATATACCACGTTTTGTTTATCTACTCACCAGCTGCTGGATATTTTTAATTACTTCCAGATTTGGGCTATTATGAATAATGTTGTTATAAATATTCATATATAAGTCTTCAAGGGGACATGTTTTCATTTCCCATGGGTAGATATCTAGGAGTGGAATTGCTGGATCATATTTTAAGTTTATATTTATCTTGTTAGTTTTTAGAAATTACCAAATTGTTTTTCCAAAGTGACTATAACATTTTACATACCCATCAGCAATGTACAAGGGTTCCAGTTTCTCTATATCCTCACCTGTGGTTGGTATTGTCAGTCTTTTTGATTATAATCATTCTACAGGGTATAAAGTAGTATCTCATTATGATTTTAATTTGCATTTCCCTAATGACTAACGATGTTGAGCATTTTTATGTGATTATTAGCCATTAGTATATCTTCTTTGGTGAAATATCTATTCAAAACTTTGTCCATTTTAAAATAAGTTCTCTTATTATTGAATTATAAGACCTCTTTACATATTCTTAGTTGTAATCAGATATATGATTTGCAAATATTTTCTCTCAGTCTGTGGCTTGCCCTTTCATTTCCCTAATCATGTCTTTTGAAGTGCAAAAGTTTCAAATTTTGGTAAAACCCAATGTAGTTATGGTTTCTTTTATTGATTATGCTTTTGTTTTGTATAGAAGAATTTTTTTCTAACTTAAAATCACAAAATTTTCTATGGAAATGTTATAGCTTTAGCTTTTACGCTCAAGTCCATTTTGAGTTCATTTTTATGTATGATGTGATATAAAGTGTCTAAGTTCATTATTTTGTACATGAAAATCCAGTTGCCTTTATACGTTTGTCAAAAATCAGTTGATCATAGGTGTAAAGATTTATTTCTGGATTTGGCATTCTGTTCCATTGGTCTCTATATCTACTTTTACAGAAACAAGTGCCAGACTTAGCTATATTGAGGGCTCCATGAACCAGAATCTCCCAAAATAATTCCAATACCACAAAAATAAACAGGAAATAGATGAACAGTTCTATACAGTTACTTCAAAGAAACAGAAAATGAAACCAACACATACCAATTGAGAAAAATTCTCACCCCCCCAAAACAACCATGAAATAGAAGAAAACTACAACACTCCATGCAAAATTAAATATATTCAAACAAGCAGCTGGGTACATGGAAACCCACTCTGAATTAGAAGGACAAAAACTAAGAGGAAGAGCTGGGGGTAGGAAAGGAGGAAGTTCATTGCATTCAAGAAAGAAAAGAAAGAAAAATATCTTAAAAATGAAATATTACAAGGCACCCAAATGGGAATAAATTCAAATTGAAATTTAATAAAAGGCACTGAAAATGGCAGAAAACAAGACAATGAAAAGGAGATAAAGAAAAAAAAAGACAAGGGAGAAAGTAATGGAAAGAGAAATAAGGCAAAGAAGTAAGAGCATTTGTACAATTTGATTCACTGGAAACAGAATTAATATTTAAAACTATAATCCAGAGAAATGTTTCAGAAATAAATTTTTTTTAAAAGATTTTGATTTACATATCAAAAGATTATACCAAGAGGCGCCTGGGTGGTGGCTGTTGAGACTTCAGCTCAGGTCATGATCCCAGGGTCCTGGGATTGAGCCCCACATCAGGCTCCCTGCTCAGCGGGGAGTCTGCTTCTCCCTCTCCCTCTCCCTCCGCCCTCCCTCCCACTCATGCTCTCTCTCTTTCAAATAAATAAAATCTTAAAAAAAAAAGATTATATATACCAAGTGCCTGAGAAAAATTATTATAAAAATCAGTTCGAAGACATATCTTAACAAAACTCTTAGATTTCAAAGATTAGTTTTAAAAATCTGCAAAGGCTTCCTGGTAGAAAGATCAAATAACTTGCAAATGCAGAATTAAACAAGCATCACCCTTTTCAAAAATAAAATACAAGGTAAGACAAAAGTAGAGCAGCGATTTTTAAAAACTCAGTGAAAAGAAGTATAAACTAATGATTTTATAGCTATCCAAGCTCTCTTTCAAGTATCAAGGCTAAAGAAAAATAGTTTTCATGAACCCTTCTTGAGGAACATACTAAAGGAAGAGCTTCATCCAACCATGAGATAACTGGAAAAACTTCAGCAAAAGAACTAATTCTGAACATTTTAATACATATAAATGTAGACAGAAGACCAAAACAAGGGGCGCCTGGGTGGCTCAGTCAATTGAGCTACAGACTTTTGGTTTTGGCTTAGGTCATAACCTCAGGGTCCTGGGATCAAGCCCCGCCATGGGCTCTGCAGTGGGTATGGAGTCTGCTTAAGGATTTTCTCTGTCCCCCTCCCCCTACTTACGCATACATCTGCGCATGCTCTCTCTTTCTCAAACAAATAAATAAATCCTAAAAAAAAAAAAAAAAAAGACCAAAACAGGAGAGTGGAGAGATGAATGTGGAAGACTCTTAAATAGAAATGATACAACTGAAAAAATGGGAGGGGAACAAAGGGTGAAAGAGAAAAGTAGAATAAACTCTGATTGTTGTATAGACATAGGTGGAAGTTAAAAGACAACAATAAACATCGATACATCAGATAATGAAAGGTAAGAGACTAAGGGCATTAGAAAAAACATCAGTACAAAGGTAACCACTAAAACTAAATACAAACCTTCCCAAAAAATACACCCACTTAAGAAATATAAGAATCACACCCACTTAAGAAATGTAAGCAAAT